AGGCCCAGCAATACGAAGTTGAGTGTTTCAGAGACACGATGAGGACCGAGAGTGGAAGCAGACCTTGATTTTATTGTTATTATTTTGCCATGTTATATTACATGTACTCTCTTTATAGAAGGCATAAGGAGCAGAATGCAGATGCTGTTCTACATCCAGACCACAGCAACAGTCTACAGCAACTGGGCGTTCGCTTTAACAGCTCCGGACAAACTTGTAGTAACGACAAAAACGGGAGAAATCATCCTCTGCCACTGTGAAGAGAAAGTGTACGACCACCAGCAGATCCAGAGGATTAGAGTAACCCCTTGTGGTGACGTATGCAAAATCCAAAAAATAGAAACTGCAGGGCAGGATAAATACATTAGCGTTACATATAGGGAATACGGCATCTCGAATACCTCAGGATTACTGTTACCTGGGTACTGTGATTGGAAAACAGTGATCACACCCCGCCAATTAAACCAATTAGAAGAGTGGGAGAAACTCATTACCCGCACCTATTGTGGGATCACCAGACGACAGGACAGAACCACCCTTTATCGGTTTAAGAAAACCTCACTCTAAGAAATAATTAAGGGCAAAGGTTAAACCGAATAAGCCACAACAGTCAAAATGCAGGATCAGCGCCCCAGAAATTCAACAGCAATAGGACCTCAAATGGTCTGCTGCTATTGCCTTTTGGGGTTGGAAGATACCCGATTTCTATGGGCCGTGGGTCCAACCTGGTGGTGCCAGGGCTGCCACTCTAAAGTTATAATTGCAACTGGAGTACATGGTATTTTGGTCTCTGATGAGCCCGCCAGTCTTCCTCAGGTGTCGGCAGAAGAATGCTGGGAGGTAGAGAGCACCTGCAAGGTCATCTGGACCTCGGCCGAGGGCTCTGAACCCTATATACCTAGAATAGCCATCCCTAGGAGAGCCACGTATTACCCAGTAATAGTAAAACTCTGGGAAAACACAAATAAAACTATCAGGCATATAGCCTACCATCTGGCCACAGGGTTGCCGTTGGTTCACGGCCCCTCCTTTAGGGTCACACAGGAGCCCCGAGAGCTCACGTCCTCATCTACCACGGTCATTCTAACGGCAGGGTTAACAACTAGCCCCCCGGTAGTCTCCGTGCCCATGGTAGTTAGGGAAGAAGGTAGACGAGCCAGTGTCAGTGTCTCTACAACCCCACCCGAGATGGCCAGCCAGCCCCAAGACCCAACTAATGGCCCACCTGACCTTTTGCCAACTACATCCTATAATGAAACCGAGCCCATGGAGGTAGAAATGTCCCCTAGAAGGTTGTCTGAACATCCATTAGATCATAACGATCTAAGTCTCCTGGAAAATTACCTGGATGACTTTGACAGATACTTAAGTAGCGAGGCGAGCCGATCCGGTCCTCTGAGTACCGATGGCACGGCCCTCACTGACCCAACCAGCCCATCTGATTCTGAGCCTCCGATCTTGACACCAGAAGGCTTGACCCATTCAGAAACTGCTGAATCTGAAGGGTTACAGGTTGCCCCTATGCGGCTGAAACAGCTTCGTCAGATGCCCATTTTAGTTGCCACAACCCCACAAGTTAGGAGGCAGGTCATAATAGAAAACATTACTCCTGTAGGTTCACCCCTTGTTGAGATCCCGCCGACCCTCCAGTCTTCCAGATCGGCTGACCTAACGGAGATCAACCCAGCAAGTCAACCCGCTGTCCCGGCCCAGGAGGCCAGGATACCCAGAAAGCGAGCGGCGCCAGATGAAGATCAGGCGGAGCAATCCACTTCGAACGCAGACCTGGACAACATGACGGTGGTTGACTCCTGGGAGGGAGAACAGGAAGGCTAGGTTACAGCGAACCTGGTGCAAAAGAGGAGAAAGATCCGACTTCAAGAAGGGGGTGTCAATAAACCAGGTGTCTGTAGTGGTGATACATGAACAGGCCACCAGCTTTAAAGAAAAATGAAGCCTGATCAAAAGTTCTCCTCAGCAACAGCTAAGAATGATAATGTGTAACCAAAGTTTTACTGTTTTAATAATGTGTAACCAAAGTTTTACTGTTTTAATAATGTGTAACCAAACTGTTTTACTAAATAATCAACACATAATCAACTAATAGAAGTATTAATCTTTAAGACATTGTATAATCCTTTGTATGATTGTGTGAGATGGTAAAAGTAAAGAGGCCTCATGTAACAGAGAAACAAGTCTGGACATGTCTCGAGCCATAGAGGAAAACAGGAAGTCACAAGGTTTAAGCACGACTCATCTCATGATGACTCATCTTTGAGCAAAACAAGTTCTGGAAAGTACCAGAAAGTCCCAGAAATCTGGTCTAAACCGGTTGAGGTGCAAAACAGCACAGAAGTTACTGGAAAAGAGATGATGTAATTTTCCATAACCCCTCCTTAAGAGGAGGAGGGATGAATAAGTCTTTAAATACAGACTGACCAGAACAAAGCTTGGTCAATGCAAAGTTGGAGTTGAACAGGAGGAGATGAGCAGAGAGGACTACAGGCGATGAACAACTCTTCGAATCAGAGGAAGCCTAAAAGGAGTTGGAGTTTACCAGTTTGGAGACGATGATGGGAGTTAATTCTTTTCTTCACCGACATGGGATTGGATTTAAGTTCCTTTCATTAACCCTGAAACTGGATGAGTATTCTGCTCCTGTGCTTGACCTAAGGCCCGTCCAAAACCTCTGATTCTCTAATTTGGATTAGTTGTACTCGTCTTTGAGGATTCGGCCGGTGTCTCTCCCCTAGAGAACTGGAAATCTGCCCTTACCCTATGGTGACTCACTAAGGGTCACCTCAAAATCATGGTAAGCGGACGACCTCAATCTTACTCTGCTCTAATTAAATTGTTTCATCAAATTGGAAGAACAGCATACAGAATAAATTTGGGAGTACTAAATTGGTTACTGGTAAGATTTGCTCGAAGGTGTTTCTGGTTCATGAGGGAGTTGAGAGAAAATATCTTCTGGCTTGAGTTGTGAAAGGTCTCTGTGAAGGAAGTATCTGTAAAAACCCTCAAGGGCTCTTGAGGTTTAGAGTTTCACAGATAGTAGTCACCACCTCGTTAGGGAAGGAAGTGTATCCTATGTACTCATGAAAAATTAAATCATTATAAAATTGTGCCTGTTGCTGTACCCCTGCGCAAATTATTGATTAAAAGCAAAGCAAAATGTATAAATTTGGACTATTATTTCATTCTTATCAATTAAATACATGGTAAAGCTTGGTTCATTTATCAACACCAATAATAGGAGGTTTTTGTAAAGGTTTCCTAGTTGAGAAACAACGCCCTTGAGCCCGTTTCCAGGGCCCTAAAGATTACCAGAACAGTTAACAATTGCAATGCTAAAGTGAGAGGTGAGCGGCCACAACGCGAGTTTCTCTGGACCAGAAGATCCATCCCGGCTGCTTGAAGGATCGAGGTACAGAGTGAGATTAGGGTGTGACTCACGGATTTAAGGTCGTTAATATTCTGGATGAATCACCTCACCGCAGCCTTAACGAGGCTACTTTAGACAGCTACAGGTAATACCACGGCGCTGAAGTGAGTTTCCGGACCCCTTGGAGGAGAGGCTGCGGGCAAAGGTGTTATCACTACCTCCAGTGGTTACCTTGCCCATCGAAAAGCAGACA